TTATTGAAGGTTTACTAAACTTCAGATTTCTGACATTTCATTTCTGTCAGTTGTTTAACATGCTTACTTGTTTAAACACTTATGTACAGTTTGGGGACAGATTTTCAATGTAATCTTTTATAGGTTTACTTGCATTAATCATTATTACAAATGAACGCACAAAAACAGCTGAAGGCAGCAAAAGCTAATGTTTTAAAGTTATTATTTGGTGCTTTGACTCGGTGACGAAAAATTTACAAAGAAAATACTGTTTTTCTTTATTAGTGTTTAATTATTAAACCGGTATTGGGATTTCGCTCTTGTGTGCTTCTCTAAGAGGGCCTGCTATATTAACGCAATAAACTTTGAATTGGAATGCAAATAAAATGCTGTTTTAATGGTAAAAGAAAAAATTAGAGATAAATCGCATTGGTATTTTTCTTTATTAAAAGAGAAACCTAAAATTAAGCTAAAAAAATTAGAAACGCAAATTTGTTTGCTTTACATTTATGCAACAGTAAAAAAATTTTTTTTTATTTTTATTCATTGAAGGCTTTTATTCTGTTTAAACAAATCGGCTATACAGTTATACTTGTATATTTAATTGTATAGTTGTGGCTGGTTACTGACGCATGTATGTAAGTGTCTCTCCGTTCTTCAGGTCAGGTAAAGGCGTTGATGACGAATGGCTGAATAATCGGCTGACCGAAAACGAGTGAGCAAATGGATAAATGGTTTCGTTTAAAAAATGTTTTAAATTGAAACTTGCAATTTGTTAGTCATGCAATAGTAACAAATTCTAACGTCACTTAAAAATAAAGGACTAAACTAAATAAATGATCTCTGCAAGGGCAACAACCAGGCAAGGGAAAGTAGATAAATGTATCTCGAAGGGCAAAAACTAATGTGTCGTCATAAAAATTGTACTATTATCTTCGTTGGGTGAATGAAGTATCAGTAGAGATTAAAGATGTTGAAAGGTAGAAAAAAGTGATCAAAGCATTTGCTATTAAAATGTAATGTAAATGTCACAAAGATTTGTAAGGGTTTTGAAGATTAATGGCTTTTACTCTTAAAGCTCTTCATTTGGGACAATACTTAAAATTTTTTTCCACTTTTATTTTTTATTTCAATTTTCTGAAACGCATACATTTTGCTTACCGCCCTTTCTATTGGTCGTTAAATGTAAATCGTGGCGGACAATTTTAATTTGACAGTAAATTAAAAAACATTTTACCAGCATTATCGTCATAAAACTCGTTGCGTC